GATGGAGATGGGGGAGGGCTGTATAAAAAGCTGCTGAAAGGGGGCATGACACACCCCTCTGTGTAAAAACATAAACATGGCTTTGGCACGCGAGGCAGCTGGCATTTCACTTGCGGATATCAGGCAGGGCTCGGAGAAGGTTTTTCCCCCACTGTAATTCCCAGAATCCCCCAACTGGCAAAGAGAAGGTCAAAAATAATCTCTACTGGTTGCCCATGATTGGAAAAGAGCATTCCTTAAGTGCTGATTGCCATGGCAGGAGCTTTTCACATCTCCTGTAGTTTGTGACTTAACTTGCCTCTTTTTGTGATTGGTTGCCAGGAGGTAAACAGTGGCTTCATTTGCATGTGAGGTCGATCTGTCAGTCAGGTCGGCTCGAATCATGTTTTTGGAACAATGACAGAGTTCAGCTTCTCATGTTTGACTCTTCCTCGATATAACCTGGCAGCAGGATCCTTTGAGGCATTAGGGCAGGAAACTTCGTTGTCCTTGCTAACTCAGATTTCCATGGTTCTGAGCCCGTGAGCGCTGCCTGCTCCACACCACCATATAGAAATTTAATTAACTAACTTAAAATGCAGTATTCTCTTCATTGCAAGAAAAAAAAAATCTTACCCGTTTTCTCCCCTTCAACACAAACGCTCCAGTTTCAGGTCTTCGAGACCAGCACTTTTTACAACCTACTTAAGTTTTAGGTGTTCCATTAATTAGAAGATGCATGACATATTGTCATAATGGGCATTTTATGTCTATGTGTCACACAGAAATTTGGTAGTTACTGCCCTTAATGATCATAATGATAAATAAGGGCCAATATCCTTCTGGGCATATCATGAGTAGACAAGACTCCTTGGAAAAAAAAGACAATAATGCTGGGAGAACTTGAAAGCAGCAGGAAAAGTGGAAGGCCAATCATGAGAAGGACTGATTCTGTCAAAGAAACCACAACTTGGAGCTTGAAAGGTCTCAGCAGGGTTATTGAGAACAGAACTTTCTGGAGGTCACCATAAGAGACAACTTGACAGCCTACAACCAAACTCTTCTTGCTAGCCTCAATGACAGTAGACCCATTGAAGCCATAGGGCTTATAGAAGTACTGACTTACAATTCAGCAAATGATTCAATGGGTTCCCTCCCTAGGATACCAGCTTTGCAGTTTACAGATACTGTGAGGATGTGCAATGTCTCAGTATGTTAAGAAAGTCTGCTTGCGTTCCATTATTACAGCAGGTTAGATAAAACAGATAAAATTCATCAATAAGCCACACAAGGCCATGCGCACGAGATGGGTGAAACCCTTCGCCTGCCTTGTTCACCAGCGGGGCTGACTCTTAATGAGTTTTATGAGATCGTATTCTTTATTTATTTACTGAATTTATATCCCGCCTTTCTGGTATAAAAAAAGAAAAAAAAGGGAGAGGGGGAAAAAGGAGAGAGATGCTTAAGGCAACCAACAATAAAAGGCAGATAAAAAACCAATTACGATTAAAAACATTTGGAACCTAGCTGACAAAATCCAAATAAAATTGCGTCAATAAGAAAGAAATAACACTCCCCCCCCAAGACTCAACTAAAGCCTGCTTCGATGGTGAATTAGCGGCTTAGGCCCAGATAATTTTCTAAACAATGTTCCCTTCCAGGGGAAAAAGAGGACAGAGAGGGGAAAAGATTTTTGGGGGGTCTAACATGATTCGTGTTTCACCCTTTCCCTGAATAAAACCCACACCTTTCTGTTCATGGGGGGCAGGGCAGCTTGTGATCAGGGTCCAGGACTGTCCTCTCCCAATTGCTTTTGAAACCCCCCCCCCCAAATATCCCCAAGCTATTTGCTCCTTTTTGACCTTGCTGGGTATCACAAATGACCTCCCTTACCTGGATCAGGTGGGAAAATATAGAAGAGGGGGAGAAGGACAGCCAGCACCGGATAAAAATTTCCCCCACCCAAAGAACATACAGAGGGCCAGGCTGAAGTGCCTTCTAAACCACGGAGCCCGGCTGTATTTCTGACGCTGGCGGGCCTTAACGTACGGTATTGCTTTAACCCTTGGGGTGGGAAAGGAAAGGTGTAATAAAGCGCCGTCTCTCGTTCCTTAATGGTAGCCAGTGAATCAAGCAGCGCAGGCGACTCTGGAGAGCCGGTTGGCCAAAAGCCAGCGCATTAAAAAAGGGAAGCTTTGCCCCGGATCGCGGGCATGTTTTACAGCCGCGCCAGCTCGTTTTTCTGTCCTAGCATTGGGCACATTTTAATTAAATAGTCATTCGCCGTGCGGCTTGCTCTGCCTTGGACGGTTTCCAAACGGTCCTGCCTGTTCCAGATACATGGTGGGGGGGGCACGTTTGTTTTCCCCCACCCCACCCTTCTCCTACAACTCGGCCCCTCTTCTCCCGCAGACCCCTTTCCGCAGCTTGCCAAGGCTCGCCTTCGGCAAATCAGGCTAATTATGTTTGCCTGGCGGCGTGCCAGCTTCTCTGATAGCATCTATTCATTAAGGTTGACCTCACCGCGCTCGCAAGGTGCCGGCTGACATTCCCGGAGTATTTTTCTCCGTGTTCGAAGATGCTCTGGTCTCGGGAGGTGATATTTATGCCAGCCGATGCCACAGCACCGGGGTGGTCGCTGGGAGGTGGCAGGAGGTGAGCAGTGAGCATGGGTGGCGACGAAAACGATCAGCTTGCCTGCAGAACCCAGGAAGCACACACAGAGGTGCTGGGATTATTGGATTGTATGCACTGGCAGGGAAGAATCAGGCCTTAGATTCCAGGCTCTACAGCCAATATTATTTTCTTACTAAAAGGCTACTACCATGTTACTAAAAGGTTACTACTTCATTACTACTAGGTGATTACTCCTTTATACTAGTTTGTTGCTGGCAGTAGTGATATTCAAAAATGGAGCTGCCTATTCAGTATTTAAAAACAATCTTTTTTTAAAAAATTAAGGTATACACCTTGTTTGATGTTTTTGAATTGTGGTGCTGGAAGAGGCTCTAGAGGGTCCCCTGGACTGCAAGGAGAACAAACCTATCCATTCTGAAGGAAATCATCCCCAAGTGTTCCCTGGAAGGACAGATCCTGAAGCTGAGGCTCCAGTACTTTGGCCATCTCATGAGAAGAAAAGACTCCCTGGGAAAGACCCTGATGTTGGGAAAGTGTGAAGGCAAGAGGAGAAGGGGACGACCGAGGATGAGATGGCTGGACAGTGTCATCGAAGCTACCAACATGAATCTGACCCAACTCCGGGAGGCAGTAGAAGATAGGAGGGCCTGGCGTGCTCTGGTCCATGGGGTCACAAAGAGTCCAACATGACTTAACGACTAAAGAACAATAATACACCTTGTCCTGCCTACCAACTGGTCTGCACCCTAACATCCAGTAAAAGTTACCCACTTTGATTTGATGACAACGGGGAGTCTGCTGGAGGGGATCAGGAGGAAAAAAAAGAGGACCTTCTCTGTGTTCTCAGCTGAGCTATGGAGGCCTTTGTCCCAAGAGGGGAGGAGGTGTCGCAGGATCCACGAGCCTCTTGAGCTGGTCCCTCTTGGGAAAATCAGAGTTCTGCACACAAATCAAGCACTCCACACGTCCCACCAAAGACCTGACCAGCTCTTGGTGAAGGACAGCAGACCAAACAGGGAAGGTGGGAAGGGAGCAAAAGGGGGCCACGTTCCAGAATTAAGGGATGATACCTTTTGAGATCACAGTGTCCATCGTCCCCAGACAGAGAACAATGGGAGATGTAGTGCTCTGCAAGAATTGCATGGCCTGGGCTCGGGAGGGATCTAAGTCTGCCTTGGGCCCGTCTTCCCCACCACGAAGCAGCAGCCTCTTTGACAGACAGATTGCCTGGGAACGAGACTAAGATCGGTGTTATTGAAGTGGAAATCGGCCCCTAAATATGCCGCGTTTGGCTGGTCGCGACAGCCCCGTCGTGGTATTCCTGCCGTAATTGGCTTGACATTTTAATGGGAGCCGCTCACTTAGCTCGGTGGCACGCTTTGTGTTATTTCACTATTTATTCTTGTTTAAGCTTGTTTGAGTAGGGTGTTATGTGTTTGCGTGTATGTGTGTGTGTGTATAAAAACACACACGCATACTCAATAGGATTGAGCTGTCAGGATTCTGTTCACTTCTTTCAACGGCTGGGAGGAACAGCATGCAAAAAAATGTCAGCAAGACGATGGGATCTGAGCCGCAGCTCCTGTATTGAAAATGGTTCCACAAAATCCAGATGTGGTGGACTGTGCATCCATCATCCCCCGTTCGTGCTGGGTAGGAACGATGAGGGTTGTAATGTGTGGGGGATCGGATGGTTTCCCACACTTGGACTGGATTGCACCTAAAAAAGGCAGTGAACACACCTCAGACTGAATTAAGAGTGAATCAGGGCCCACAGGGTTGAAGTCTCCGGCTTTCTGACTAGAAGGTGACTGTGGCCCCAATCCACCCTGCCCCTCAAGCCAGGTTTCATAATCGCTGGGAGGGAAACAGAACACCTCGGGAAAATCAAATATTTGCATATTATCCCTGCAAAGTGAGGAAATGTGGTTTCGTCTTGCGTGGAACATCAAGAGCCATTGGCTTTACAAAAGACCCTGCTGCTCCCGGTGCCTGCACGCTGGCACTCTTTCTGCTGGGTTGTGGGAACGGCCACTTCTAAAATGACCATCAAGCTCCTGGTTTTATATCCAGCTTTGGTACTGATCTAGGACGGGCTGGGATGGCAGCCGCCTCCGATTTAAAAGCAGAAAACCTAGATGGACCCTTCTGGGCCTTCAGACGGACCCAACCTTTGGAACTGGCAGTCTGGGTGACTCAAAGGGTAGGAGGCTGATGAAAATGCACCCCGAGGCTCTTGGATGTAAAACACATTAATGATGATGGCATGTTCTGTATCTTAATTATCCAATTTCAGTCACTTACAGTAACGGAAGAACCAAGGGGATGCACGACTATGCGGTAAAAAAATAATAATTGAGAGGCGATTAAAGCGTGTGGCGGAGGTTTTTAAAGGCCCGCTCGTTGTTGTTTATTTCATTTGCATATTCACACTCTGAAAGAAGACGACCCATTTCATTTGGTTTAGGCATTAAAAGGCTGCTTTCTATCATTTAAAATGTTCCCCGCCTCCCCTTGCTGTTGGCTGAATTCGGGTGATATCAGGGAACGTGAGGAAACTGCAGCAACGGAATATTATAACATACTCAAGGATCCAGTTCGGTGTTAAAGAGTTAGCTAACCGTTCCAAGCTCTGTCCATGAGAGTCAGAAAGAAAATACTATACTATATATAAAAACAAGCAAGCAAACAATAGCAAGAAGTTGGACTGTGGAACTCACTGCTACAAGGACCTTTGTTGACTTTGATGAGAAATGAAATGAACTCATAGAACTGAATCAGTCAAGACTTATGCTATATCTATGGTGACGCCATGTTCAGTTTATCTCCACGTACCAGCTTGCATAACAGAGATGAAAAGACCCTGTCTTCATGGTCTACTTACAGAAAAGCCAGGTTGGCCACTAGGGAAGCAGGAAACTGTCCTGAATAATATTTGGTTTGATCCACATAGACTCCAGGTCCCATTTCCGCTTCTGTCTTGCAGACTGTCGAGGCCCAGATCTTATGGCTCTTCCAGTTCTCGAATGGGGCACCAACCCTTACCGACACGGATTCAGTGAGTCCATGCTAGCTGAGAGCCAATCATTGCATTCTGGTGCAAGAGCCCTGATCAAAAGACAAATTCTGCAAGGGAGAATGAATCTGTTCTCGGCCGACCCTCTGCTGTCTTGCAAGCAATGGCCATGCACGGCAGACATGTGCCCATTGGGTTGTGTGACATTGACCTAAATTGGTACTAACGAGGCCTTGAATCGGTGACTGTCCAAAGACCCCCCCCCCCAAGGCCGTGCTTCACTTCTATGCAGACTTATGAGGATTTAAGGATCCGTACGGCCGACCCTCCTTGAGTCTCGTCTCCCTTGAGAGATGCCTGAAAACAGGCAAACGGGACGAGACTGGTATTGACGACATCAACCAGCGCTGGCCTCTCTGAGAGTTTTCAGACCCTCGTCTGTGCCACATCCCTATCTGGCAGCATGAGCGTCATGGGGAAAAGTGTTCCTCTCGGGGAAGGGAAAAGCTGTATTTCCTTGCTCCCAAAGCGTGGCGAGATGTGGTCGGTAAGGAAGCGGAGATGGAACTGCCGGCCGACGCAGTAGACCAGGTTTTCCACAACAGTGCACTGGAAGCAAGCCGGGAAGGGCACAGGGTGGGTGGCACATTCGTACCAGAGTTTGGCCTTGGCACTGCAGCGGTAGACGCTGATGCCCCTGCTCCGGTTGAGGTCAAAGCGGTAGAGGAACCCCCCGGCGGCCACCATCTCAGTGGTCCTGTCCTTGCTGCCCCCGGTAAGGCTGACCTTCCAGGCGTCCAGCCGGGGGACATACCTCAACAGCATGTAGCGCAGAGTGCCCCCCGTGACGTAGATCTCCCCATCGCAGGCGGCCGCCGTGTGGGCCACAGCGAAGGTGTCGTTGGGCAGAGGGGCGGTGAAGCTCCAGCGGTCCGTCCGGGGGTCGTAGCGTTCAACGGTGGAGAGACATTCTCCCCCGATGGCGTAGAGGCAACCGTCCAAGGCAACCAGCTTGCAGTGGGGCCTCGCTTGGTTCAACGGGCAGATCTCCCTCCAGATATGGGTCAAAGGGTTGTAGCAGAGGACTCGGCTGGAGGGTCTCTGGAGCCTCCCTCGCCCTTCGCAGCCAGCCGCAACAAAAAGGTAGTTGAACATGCTACAGACGGCGCAACCCTTGGAGACGGCCTCCATCGGTAGGTGAGTCAACGGGCGCCACGTATCCTTCCGGTCATCATAGTAGCAGAGCCTGCTGGCGTGGCCGCCGTGCTCCTGGGAGCTGACGTCAGCCACCGCCAGGAACTTCCTCCCCTGCATCCTCTTTCGCAGGATCAGGTCCCTCTCCATGGCATTGAGGCGGCCATAGATCGCATTGGTCCTGAGCACTTGGAGGTAATTGTCGCTCATGACCTTGTAGGCCGCTTCTCGGAGGGCTTCCAGCTTCTGCTGCTTGGCCATGCGCAAGACCTCGTAGCAGTTCCCCAGATCCAGACGGACGACGTCAGCGGAGGTCTCTGAGCACAGGGGGAAGCGGAGGAATTTGGCACCCGCCACCAGCTCCACGGTGGGTTCCTCGCTCGTGTCACTTGGGATGCTCTTCATGGATCCCGAGAGAGAAGAAATGGAGCCGGAGCAGAGGGGGACAAGAGGAGGGGTGTCCCGTTCCGAGGATTCTGGCACCGGAGAACCGAATCCTTCCATCGGGACTTGAAGCTCTGGGTTTTCTATGATCTTGTGGAAACTCTCTTTCCGGCTGATGCCGTGTCTGGGCCCTGGAGGCTTCTGGGTAGGGTTCCCTTCAGCCGCTGCCCCTTTCTGGCCTTCGGGCTGCATCGATTTTGTCTCCTTCTCAGAAGCCCCGGGAGACGTCGGAAAGGCCTTCTCAGCCGTTACTCCGCCCTCTCCGTTTTCCGAGACGGTGTTGGCCACATCCCACTGTAACTGCATCTCAGGCTCACAGGGGCTCTCCGTGCTGGGTATGTCATAGGACTGCGGAGTGTCCAGGCTGGTGTAGGAGGACTTCTCCTTTGTGACGGATTGGGACACGGGTTGAACACAGTTGTCATCGGCGCAGCCTCTCGGGTCGCCCCGAGGCGGCTCTGCTTGGCCGCTGTTTCTCTCTTTCGACTTTGCTGCTTGAGGGAGGCTCTCTTGCACCCGTGTTTCAGCCACAGCAGAGAACGTGTAGGCTGCCGAGGACCCCCGGCAAGACGGGCTCATGGCCAAGCCCAGACCAGCCGTGGCCGGGAAGGGCTGGTCCCTCTCCCTCTGCAGCTGGGTCTCTTCTGCCTGGTCGGGGTGTCCCTCTCCTCTCCGCAAGGAGGGCCCGCAGCTGTTGCTCAAGGCGGATTCATCCCCCCCACTTGTCCGCTGAGGACCTCTGCCCACCTGCTGGCAGTCCTCGAGAGGGAGGCAAAGTCCGGCTTCCCCAGAGCCAGCGCCTGGCCCCGGCCCCTTGCGGTCTCTGACAGAAGTGCCGCCTTCACCTGCTTGGCTGCAGAGACCCGGAAATGTCCACCTGCTTTCCGATGTCATTCCAGCCATGCCATCCGTGACTCTGGCACCGCCAAGGAGAGCCCACGGCGTTCTTGCTTCCTGGTTCTCAACCGCCTGTGGTGCCAACTGTTGTCTGTCTGCCTGTGATCCAGGGCCCGGGTGACCCTCCTCCTCCTCCCTCGTCTGTTCTTCCTCATCTGCCTCTCGGCCGGCCGGTGCACCTTTGAGCCCAAACGTGCCTCTGGCGGCCAGCCCACCTGGCTCCATGGACCGCTTACCTGTGCGGCCATTTGCCTCGCTCCCTGTCCTTCTGACACCCCTGTGCCTCAGTCCCTGCAGCGTGTCCTCTCTCTCCGCTGGGTTGCAAACTGGAAGCGGTGAAGGCTCCCTGCCCTGGGTGGCCTTGGCTGCTCCACGGGGCCCTTCCTGGGGCCTGTCAGGGGACCCCCGAGACTTGTAGTAGCGATACGCCAGAGTCAGCAAGAGCAGAGCTGCGGCCGAAAGAGCCCACCGCCCGGCCAGCTGCATTTCGGACAGCTGGTCTCCGTTTCCCTCCGCACCGGGGATCATTCTTAGACGGTGGCGCTCCGGAATGTGAAAAATGTGAGATTAATAATTGCCAAGGGTTGGAGGCTGGCCGGGTCTCGGCGGGTAAGGCCTGCCCCTCCTCCCCTCTGGTTGTCTCTGGAAGGTGACTTTTACCTGTCCACAGGTAAGAGAGAACGGCGTCTGCTCCCAGCTAGTATCGTGGCTTGCCAGGTGTCCGCTTACCGTCCGGGTTTGCATATTTGAACAAGGTGGGCTGGACTGGGTGCAGGTGAGGGGAAGCAAAACGAAGCAGCCAAGAAGGCGACACAGCATTTTAAAACAGGAATTGTGTGTGTGTGTGTGTGTGTGTGTGTGTGTGTGTATGTGTGTGTGTGTGTGTGTGTGTGTGAGAGAGAGAGAGAGAGAGAGAGAGAGAGTGATTATTTTGTTAAGCTTTGATAAACAAGAGAGGCTTTGAGAGGCGACAAGGAAGCAGAACTACAAAATGCTCACCTGTGTTTGGAAACAGATTTCTTTAAAGCTGTTACCAGTCCTTTCCCACCTGGATGGATTTCTCTTTCCACCTGTCCTTCCTGAGTCCCTTTTTGAGCCCTCCCCTCACTGGGGCTGCCTGTGGCACATTTACTCAGAAATAAGTCTAATTTCTACTACTGCTTTTAGCCACACTTTGAATTTGCCAAAGAAAAGAAAAGCTTGCGAGTATCAGAAATGAAACAGCCTCTGGCTTTTGGTCTTGCAGCCCCAAAGTCCTAGCACAAAAGGAAAGACGACCAGGAAGGAGGAGGAAAAAAGCATCAGAAAACTCAGTTTGGTTACCAATTTTACAAATTATTGGTTACCAATGTCAACAGGGAGAAAAAGGTTCTCTTTCAGAAGTAGTTTCAGACGGTGCTGAAAAACAGTAGCAAAACGACAGAAAGGGAGCCTCCTCCTTCCTTCCTTCCTTCGTTTGTTCTCAGGAGTCCCTATGCAAATTTGATACAAATTAAAATGCAGTTTAACAAAATACATTAGCATCTCCATCTATACAAATAAATACAGGGGAAGTGATGGGCCAAGACAAACCTCCCCGACGAGGCGAGACAAACAAGCCAAAGACAGGAGTGAAATTTAAAAGCAGAACAGAACGCGGAGGTTGCCTGGCGCATGCTGGGAAAAGCCGCCTTCCAAGGGGAGAGAAGGGGCTTGAAATGTAATTAGCTCCTCATTGATAGTTCTGAGGTGGCTTCATCTCCCCGGCAGGCCTTTGGGAAGGATCTCCAACCTTAGAAGGCCAGAGAATGGGAATCTGGGCTTGCGTGTGCTGATTTTTCGGGCAAAGAGGAGGGTGGTCGGTGGGTGGGCACAAACAGAGGCGGTTGCTGGCATAATAAAAGTCACACCTGCTGGCCTGCATGGAAATTCTCCAGTGTGCGCCTGTGTGCATGTGTGTCAGAGCAGCCCGCAGTGCGCTAAAGGGAGGCTGTTTTACTTTCTGGCTTTTAAACCTATGGTTCTTGGTCTAGAAGCAAGAAAGAATCTCATCAAATGGACAGAACTTGGTCGGTAAGGCTGACCCGAAGGATTCTGCAGCCTGAGGCAAGGAGAAATGAGTGCCCCCCGCCGACCCGGACAGAGGAATCTTTCTTGGATGTTAGTGATGGAGTGTCCTCTTGCCCCCCCCCTTCAGAAGCCAGAGAGAGCAGAGGCACCCGTCAGCAAAGATGACCAGGACCTTAAAAGTAACTCACAAGTTCCTGCTGTATTGCCAAGGGAGGGGGCTACCCCTCAACTACTTTTCATAGTGCTGAGTTAGTTCAAATAATTCTGGATGAATGAGCCCATCATCTCATCTGGGTCCACATAAACTCTCTCGCCTGGAGGAGCGGGCGATGCTTCCAATCAATAACGTCAATATTTGTAAATTTGGCGATCCTTTCTTCTCCTGCACAAGAACCGAACGAGCAAGGATTTCTCTCTCTCTCTCTCTCTCTCTCTGCCTGGAAGCAAACTCTCTCTGATCCCCATGGTATATATTTTGGGGGTGGGGTGGGGGGTGAGAAAGAGCTGTTTACTATAATCTTACACTTGCCACGGTAGCTAGAAAAACAGGTTCTGATAAAGCGCAAGTAAATATGTGCGTTCCCTCTCAAAGGATCCGGCTTGCACAGCCCCCGAGGGAGTACATGTCCGTTTTAATCCTGCCCGGCTAAGGCAGAGGGCGGGCTGCGCATAAAACTGTATCTGCCGAGCATGGGCCTGTGGGAGACCCCTGCATGAAGCGTGCCCGTTAAGGTCAAATCGATCGACCTTTTGAGGCAGGAGTTGGAGAAAAGTTCTGAAGAGGGGGGGGGGAAGGAAAGTTTGCCAAAACTGTCACAGGCTGGGCATCGGCGCCAACAGAAACCAATGCACTCACCCATCTTGAACCCTCACACAGTTGTAGCCAGGAGGTGCTCTGAAGGGCTGCTTTCCAAGCCCAGGCCTGCTCTGCAGGGTTGTAGGGAGGGTAAACGTGAAAAGAAATTCGGGCTCGCTTAAGTTGAGAGATCAAACAAGCAAAGCCTTTAGCAGATTAACTGAAAAAACCAACTGGAGTCACTCAAATTTTGTATTACATTTTGTATGTATGTGTGTGCATGTGTTTAATATTGTAGCCCCATGGCTTCCCTTGATGAGAAAGGTGGGATAGCCATACATTAAACAAAGAAATAAGGTGTCTTCTGCTCTTCTTTTGGTTTATTTAATTATTCTGAAGCTGGAATGCTAGTGACAGGGAAATGCAATATTAAAGTTGGCCTTTCCTTCTCCCCAAGAGTGGTGGCTTTTGAAGATGGTGTGTGTGTGTGTGTGTGTGGGTGTCTTCTGCTCTTCTTTTGGTTTATTTCATTATTCTGAAGCTGGAATGCTACTGACAGGGATGAGGCAAAGGTTACATACAAATGATCACTGTTGTTATAGATGTGATTGGCATCGTCATGTCACACACATTTGTGCTCCCACCATCCTGTGTGCCAATGTTGCTCAAACAGAAAGAAGGACTCTTGCATCCACGTGGCAGAAAAGGGTGGCTGAGGCAAAATGCAGACCAGGCAGTAAAAGACACCAGCGAGGAAGTTTGGACTGCGACCAGAGAGGAAGCATTTTTAAAAGGAGTCAAATTCCTGCCGATTCCATGTTGGGCTCTGCTTGGCTTGGAAAGTGACTCAAAAGGAGCCTCAGAGCACGTCTAGAGGATCAGAGCCGGGTTCCTCTTAGGGTGGGAGACCCCTTGGGACTGGTCAGGGTTTTCATTCCAAGGATTTCTGCCGCTCCGACATCTTGCACCCCTAAAGACGGCAAGGCAGGAGGAATCTTTTAGCTGAACCCAACGTTTTTCACCCTGCATGTTACCTCTTTATGTGGCTCCGGCTGAACTCGTCCTCATTGTGTTCCCTTCTCCACCTTCTAAACCCCTGCTTCTCCGGGAGAGCAAGGAAAGCCCAGGTAGCTCTTGTACCTGTAAAACTTTTGGGCTCT